TCTTTTTGCTAATATCAAGTAACTAACTAAATAGTTCTGTTGTCTTTAGCAAGACAGCTTAAGGAGAACATTCCTTTGATGCCAGAAGGGCAAAACCAGGCCCTTCGTTCTTTAAACAACAATTCAAAGTCACGTTGCCCTTATTGTTGGCCTTCAGTACTAAAGATTTTTGTCATGCTTGGCTTCACTTTGACTTCATGGCTAAGGTTTCAGCTAGTGATGCTATCAGACAATAGCAGAACGCAATTCAAAACAGCTACTGGAAAAATCCCTACACTCTTCCAAAGCTACTAGGTTAGGGTAAAAGAAGAGCTGTGACACCACCTACTGTGAAGCAAACACATGCATTGAAGTCTAAAGCACATATCTGATTTTCTCATTATTTTTTAGTGTTTTGTTGTTTCAAATGTAAGTTGGAAATGGTTTGGTAACAAGGCTTGAAAACAGATAGAGCTTCAGCATCTTTTGAAAATTTGCCAAAGTTTTATTTTACCTTATTTTATTTTATTTTATTTTATTTTATTTTATTTTATTTTATTTTATTTTATTTTATTTTATTTTATTTTATTTTATTCTATTTATGTTTTTCAACCACAGCATTCCTCTGGAATTAGCTACCACATTGTCCCATGAATCTCACCAGAAATGACAAGCATATGCTGTTCTAGTCAATACATAATATTTAATAATTTTTATAGGAAACTCAGGTATTTTTTGTTAGCATATACTTCTTCTACTATGCTATATTGAGGTAAACTGTGGTATTAGTAACTATGGAGAGAGAAGAGAGTAACTGGTAATAGGAGGGATATATCACATCTTTGTGAGGCACTAAATTGAACCCTATCAGTCCAGATTAATATATTTTATAGCTGAGACCTGAAGTCTAAAAATCACCTTTGTTTAAATTGTAAAATATTCTTTTTGAAGTACTTTCTAATCTGTGTTAATTTTACTTCAAAATTCAGATGCAAGACAATATTCCAGTTACTCTGATCATGTGTTTTGAAGGTAAAAGGTTACATACCTCTCCCTAATTGTATCTCAACAAATTCACGATAGAAGTACTGAATTGGACATCTGCTACTGTCCTCTTTAGCACAGAGGCCACTTTAAAAAGCTGTCTTCTGTGCTTTCAAAAAAACCCATTGCTGTGTTCCAGCACTGAAGACAATAGTGGAGGGCAAAGATGTAACCTCTCTGGTCCAAATGTTATATACTCACATTACATCTCCTGCAGATGAAAAACCTTCTTACAATGAAGAAGAAAATGAATTTTGGAACAGTGTATTTTTTGAATTATTGTTGCAGTCAGAAATGAAGTGGCAGAACTGCCCAATCTTAGTGTTATTCATTAGGCAGATTCATTATGGTTGTATCTATCAGCCAACCCACATCAGATCCTCTTGTGCTAGACATTATAAAACCAAGAGCTGTTCTGAAAGTTGGACTATATAGAAAATAATTTTGTGCTGCTGAAATGTGTTGCTTGGAGGGGTGCCTAGCTTCATCATTTATGGTGTAATATTAATTTCACTAAAAACCTCAGATTACATAGGCCATGCTACACAGAAACAGAACATCAGCCAGCATGTGTTGCTTGTTTGTGACTGGGAAAAGCCAGATAAGATGAGACAAGTGGTCAGAGCTGCAAGGGAAGGGTAGAGTACATTGACTGAGGAAAACATGAGGAATCAGTCCTTCTGATAGAAAAAAGACTGGAAGAATGCTAGGACTACTGAACAAATATTGAAAAAGGTATGTTCTTCTTTAAGGAAGCAGAACTTTGTCACTATTGCTCCCAACTCTACCCTTGACTTGGTTTTCTGGTGGAAATAATATGTGAGACCATGAATATTGGCTCAAAAGGTATGTGAGGCACATTTTTGTGCTTGGATAAGAAGAGGTGAGAAGATATAAGTGGTTTTGCCCTTAATGTTGCAGTGTGTTGGTCCTTCATTAAAAAATAAAATTAAACGTATTTTTTCTTCCTTCAATCCACCTATCCAGCAGCTCCACTGCAAATCAGATGCCATGTTAGGGTAGGTACCACTTCTTTCCAAATGCCTTGTTAAATCTCCTCCTTCCCTTCTGTTCATTTTCTCTTACAGTACAATAAACCCTGGGCTTTGTCCACCAGTCTGTGTGTATATATTAGATCCTCAACCTTATTTGTGTCTGTGATGACCTCTGGGGAGAATATATCAGCACTTTTTCATCTCACTACAGCAGTGAAAGTGAGTAAAACACAGTTGTTTTGTCTTTGAGCAATGGATTTGATGAGGTGGTTATCTTGGTAATTAAAAAACCCCAACCTCCTCCACCCCAAGAACTCTGAATGACTTCTCCATTAATCACTGCAAGAGCACCACTGATTTACTGTGTTTGTAAGAGACATGCCCCTAACAAAGCAGACACAATTTTTTTTCTAACTCAAAGAACATTTTATTTGGTGGTCTAATAGCTTTCACTTACAGATATCACATGAGTGGAAAAAGGTAATAAATACAGGCCTGCACATCTTAAATATATGACTGAATTTTATATGTTTGCCAATCTACTTTAAGTGTAAACCAGTAATGTTCAGGGCTGTTGGCCTAGCAAGACTAGGCTAACCTAGCCTTCTGATTGATCCATCTGGGTGTTAAAGCCTGGTGAGAGTTCACCTCGGATGGGTGACATCCCCGATGTCAGCCAAGCAGCAGTGCCCCTTAGTCCATGGCAGTAATGAGATATGACACTTACTTAACCCTCTCCCCCTGTAAAAGTGGCTTAGGGAAAGTTTTTCTCACATTTCAAACTATTTATGAGGAACATGGCCAATTACCCTAGGTCAGTCAGAGGTAGATCATAAAGGCAATGCAAATCACTATGTATCTGCTGTGAGCAGTGTCTTACTTCACCCACATTTTGTGGAGCTGGGCTTTTGTAGGAAGGATTTGTGCACTGTGGATATGAGTGATTCCAAAATTTTTGCCCTGCTCGACTGCTGAGATTTGCTTTAATCCTTAAGTAATTATTCCAGTAAAAATACCACATGTCATTGGTCCTTCAGCATCCCTTACACCTTGTCCAACTTGAGTTGTGGGTTGTTGGGGGCAGGTTTACCCTTGAGAAGACATTTGTAACAGAACGGCATGGCAAGGCTCTGTCCCTGTCTGTGATGGAAATGCAAGCCTTGTAAACAATAATAATGCCTGAACCTCTGGGCTAAAATCTGCAGACACCAGAAAAGTACCAAATCAGATCAGTAGGTCAGATCTTAACTGAGAAACAGAAATGCAGCAAAAAAAATCTAAGCCCAGCCTCTGTTTTGAGATGCACAGGAGGGGTGCTTGTACACTCATATTCATCTCTCAAGACTAAAGGCTGAGAAAGAAGGCCCTTCATGCACTGTACAGGAGAAAAATCCAAGTTAGCCAAATATATTTTTGTTAATCATAATATTGATGAGTCTTTGATGGCCACAAGACCCGGTGTACGGCATACAAGCAGGAATTAGTCTCTGTTACTGTTGGATATATGGCTTGGGACTCCTACCATGGCCATCAAAGGGCAAGAGGTATTCTTCCAAGGAGGAAGTCCACATGGGGTACTCACCAGTGAGCTTTTACTTCCAGCATTCATAATTAGCACCAACAACTGCAGACTCCTTGTCTGCTGCCATTAGTCACTAAGGATTGAGAGCAAATATGTAAGGAGAATGCAATTAAATAGGTGCAAGTGGAAAGTGGGAAAATGCAACAGGACTTTACCAAAGATATATTTTGTGAAGCAAACCCAGAACTCTCTGTGAGCAGAAGAAGATTCCTAATAAGGAGAAGGCAGAAGATTCAGCATGACTAGACCTCAGTCAACATTTGGTACAGGATTTCACAGAAAGCTGTTACAGGGGTTGGTGAGACACTGCAGCATGGGTAAGAAGTTGGTTCAAAAGAGATGCCACAGAGGAAATGCATCATACCTATCTAAAGTGTAACAGGTCCATCCATGCCCTAAATTATGGACCACACCAGTGGCATTTCTTGATGGTGTGGCTGGGAGAAACAGCCAGGAGAAATATCAGGATAGCCTGGAAAAGGGTTTGCCTGAACTTGAGGACTGGAATAATGACAAAGTTCAAGCACCAAACAACAAGAATATGTATTTTTAGAATAAACAATAAGCATATACAGTTTTGAGGTGCATAGTTGTGACTTACAGGGTAGGACCGAGTGGTGCATACTTGTGGGTCACCAAAGGAACCTAACACAGTGAGAAGACTGGAGGAAGTGGCCTTAAGGTGAGACTGGGGAGATTGAGATTAGATAACAGAGAAAGACTTTCCACTATTAGGGTGGTCGGGCACTGAATGGCTGCCCAGGGAGGCAGTGGAGTCACATCCCTCGAGGTCTGGTTGTGCCGCTGGGTGATGCGGTCCAGGTGTACAGCGGCAGGACCAGGCGGACGGTCGGACTGGTGGTCTCCAGTCGCGGTAATACCACGGTAGCCTTGGTGAGACGGTGAGACCCAAGGTGGCGGTTTTCACCTCTGAGTTATCCTTACTATTTCTTCTGCTCACTTCTTGGGTATATAAAGGACTTGGTGCTCCCCACAGTCCAAAACTGACGTCAGAACGACTCAAGGGGGGCTTTTGGTCTCCACCAGCTCCTCTCTCCGGACCCCCAGCTGGGAACGTCACTCAGCTTCTTCGCGAGTCCTTTTCCCCTTCCAGCCGCGCCGCCTCCCGGAGCAGGCCGGCGGGCCGGGGCGAGCGGGGCCGTGCCCCGGGGCCCTCACGGCCCCGCCGGCCGCCCCGCGCCGCGCGGGGGAGGCGGGCCCGCCCGCCGCGCCGCCCCATTGGCTCCGCGCGGGACTCTCCGCGCTCCCCGGCGCCCCATTGGCCGAGACGGCCCCTGCCCCGAGCCGATTGGCGGAGCGGCCCGGGATCCCCTCCGGTGGGGGCGGCGCTCGGGCGGGGGCGGCCGCTCGGTCACCTGCGGCCGGGGCGGCCCCGCTCCGCCGGCCCCGCCGGGGCGGCCGCGGCGTCACCGGGAACGGCCGGGAAAAGCCGGAGAAACAAAGAACATGGCGAGGGGAGGAGGAGCTTCCGCCACCTCAGCCGCTGGGAAGGGCGCTCCGGGGGCGTACAATGCCCGCCGCGGGGCGGGTTCGCTTCCCTCCGCCCCCTTTCCCCGCCCTTGTGGCCGGGCTGGAGGGGGGCTGGGGCGGAACGGGACGGGCTGAACTGAACTGGACTGGACTGGAGGTGTCCGTCGGGAGTGGGTCCGCTGTCTGCCGCAAGTTTCGCCCAGAGTGGGAAGGAAAGTTGGGCGGGATCCGGCCAGGTAAGGAGCGGGCGGGGGTCCTGGGACACCTGCGGGCCGGGCCGCGCTCCCGCGGCCCCGCGTCTCCCGCGGCCGCAGGTGCGGCCGGGCCCGCGGAGCCGCTGGCGGCCAGGCAGCCCCCGCGTCTGGAAACTTTTTAGGAACTTGGAAGGTTGTCCGCCCTGGTTGTCTCCCTGTCTGGGGAGAGCCGTCGCCGTGCGCCAGCAAGCGACACCTGGCCCAAAACCTGACAGGACTGTCAGGGCCAGAGCGGGAACCTCCGAAAAAACTCTTAATAAAATTGCGTGTGGTTACAGTCTTACCTGTGGAGCGGTGCCGGGACCGCTGCCCTCGTGAAAAGAAAACTCTCCAACCCATTTTCTTCTGGCGTTTGCACAGAGTACGGATCTCTGCTGGTTTTTCTCAACTCTCAAATTATTCTTTAGCTCTGGTCTTGAATAAATATTGCTCATGTTAGAATGATTACGGTACTGTTGAGAGGCCTTGGTCGGGATTTTGATCTTTGTAGTTTGTACTGAGATGGAGACTTTGTTGTTTTTCCTTCTTTTTTTTTAACTTTTAAACTAACTAATGATTTGAGCATCCGGTTTGAGGGATAGCTTAAATGAATCACACTAAGCGTTCAGCTTTTCGGCGTTTGTTTTAAGATGTCTTGAGCTAGTTAGCTGAAGTTTGAATTTTCAGAAATGTTTAGACATCAAGAGATAAACCACTGGGCTGTCTAAAGTCATGATTAATGCGTTCATAATTAATTCAGTTACGGTCTCGGGCCCCCCATCCTCCCCCAGATTCACATGGAGGCAGCTCAATTGCATATCAAAAGCCTCTTCTCATTTTCATTTAGTAAGCTGTTAGACTTTCAAACTGTTCTTGCTCCTTTTCATCTCACTTTGCTCACACCCTCAACAATTGAAATGAAATTTTGGGGCAAGTATGTCTGCGTACTTGCTTATACAAAAGTAATAAAAACAGCTTAGCGATAGTAAAGCCAGGAGCGTAAATAACCGTTATTTTCTATCAAAGGTTAATTAGCTATCATCTTTATATCTCTACATGTAAGTATAAATTGGATAAAATTTTAAGGTGAAAGTGCACAGCCATTCTGGAAGGTACTGTTACACATTGTCCCAGCTTAAGAAGAATATCTCTTTAAAATGTGTTGACATTTAATTGACCTTTGAAAGTTCATTCTGTTAATCATACTCAAAGCACTAAAGCTATGGTTGACTGATCTGGTGCTCGTACATTCAGCCGTGCTCAGCATATAAATTCTGCAGCATGATTGCTACTTATTGAGCAAGAGTTTCTTTTCTTCTCTGAAAATGAGAAAGTTTTGCTTCGCCTCCGGCTGGGTGCTACGGGTAGAGTTGTGAATCCAAATGTTTTCCTGCCATCAGTTGTTGTGGTGGGTGTGGCCTCCAGCCAGGCAAGAAATTCCTTTGCTGAAACTCTGGTTTTTCCTTCCTGAGGCCGCGCATAGGGCAAGGTAACCTTGAAGGTTACTTCTGTATTTACTTTGAGTCAAAACACAGTAGGTCACTTTGCTTTTTGTGTTTTAAGCTCTTCTGTATGCCAGCTGTTTGAATGGAGAAGGCTGAGTTTAAAAAGGTTGATTGCAGAAGTAACTCCCCTTTCCCCCTCAAAAACTTGGCTCTTAAAGTCAAACCTAATATGCCCTTATTAATATGTGTGCTACCTTTTTATGGCTGTTGTCCATAGCTTTGTTGTAACTCAAACTCATACAGATACAGGGAATGGAAGCATTACTTATCAGCTTACTGTCAAAAGATCTGGGTAAATATTAATTTTTACTGGGTTCACTTTCTGGATAGATTTCCCAATGAGGCTAATATAGTTGGTAATAGTTTTTGTATGTTGAGACCTCTTGTGTCATATAATGAATTTGTAAGTCTGTTGCCTCATGAGAAATGAGGAAAGTACTAAATGTTAAATGCAGTATCAGTGATTCCTAATACATCATTAGCTCTTTGCTGTTACCATTGAAAACTAATTAATAGCTCTTAGTCATAAATCTACTTACAAAGTTAGAGACCTGGCATTGCTGTTGTAGTTCTCTAAGCTATTTTGTCAATGCTGCTTTTGTACTAGAATCCCCTTCCCTGAATTATGAAGACAGATGTGATGTTCAAAGTGCATTTGCAGTCACATAACTGCCCTGACATGGTGTTGTTAGGAGCTGTTAAATCCCACCGAGGGAGGGGTTGTCATCTGAGCAAGTATTTTTGTCAGAGTTGTGTCCACCAGCATACAAGTGCTTTGAATACTAAAAAGTGATCCTGTGGTTGAGGTTTGTTTATTTTAGTAGAATAGATACAACTACCACACATGATTAATTTCACTGATTCTTTAGAAAGCTGAGTGAAGATAAATGTGCCAAGAACATGTCTGTACTTTATCCAGGGTAGCTTAAGGGCTGGAGTGTGCAGATACCTGACCTGCAGCTGCCCTGATGCCCATAGCCCAGAGCTGGCACCCACTTCGTCTGTGGTACTTGCAGAGGTGTCCTCTGTCACCTCAAGGGACAATGATCAGAGCTTCAGGGACCAACAGGACATGTAAAGAGAGATCTGCTCTGCAGCTTAGCTTTTATAGAGGCTTAAGTCTTGGGCCCAGCTAGGTGGAGGTGTCAATCCATTTCTTACTTGCAGTTGCAAACACTGCAGTGGAATGACATGACTGAGCAGGGTCCCCTTTTGTAAAGGGATCATCTTACTGATTTGCAGGAGTGATTTGAATGTGGTGGCTCTCCTGGGTGGCAGAAGCTGCTCCTGTTGAAAGCAGTTGTTAAAGTGTGGATGGCATCAGCACATGGGCACAGGCATTCAAGTGGGGGAGTGAAAGCCAAGTTTTGAGTTGTGGCTGAGACAGGCCTAGAGGGGGATTTAAACCTGAACTCTTGTTGTCCTAATGTTTGTATTGTATAGAAAGGTTTCTGGTGCAGCTGGTGTATTCCTAAACTCCTTATATTATTGTTGGGATGAAGGATGGATCTGGAAGTTGTACATTCTTGCACTTAGCAGTTGAGAAGCAACAGGGTGAGCAGGGGATTTGAGAACCACGTGGTGGTTTGGACGTGCAGTATTAGTTCAGTTAGTGTTGATACAAGTACCCACTGGCAGGAAGCTGTGTGCTCAGAGGGTAATAGCAGCCAAGAACGGATGTTTGAAGTTTTAATAATATCTATAATTTTATCAGGCACCTAAACCCTTGAGGGTTAAGAGGGAGGATGTTATGAAGGTAATGGTTGATCTTTCTATCTGCATTCCTAGATTACTCTGAGGAGGATAATGTGAAGTCATTTTCTGAAGATTATGGCATTGCGTGCAAGGAATGTAGCACTGGGCCATAAATTAACAGGAACAGAAAAAGTTCATTTCAACTCCAGTTTATTAACTCAGTCATTTGCATATGTAATCCTTTGTACCAAAAACTTGTACTGTATAATATATCTTTTACAATAGCAGCCTACCATAGCAAATAGATTTTTGTTCAGGAAATTTCCCCTCCTCTTTTATATTCAGGTGTGTAGAGAGTAAGTTTTACATTATTATGTAAGACTGCTTCTATGACACTTCATGTTGAATAAAACACATCATATGTTCTTGATCTGTTGGATCCACAGATGCCTTTCCTCTGTAACCATTTGAAATTTTAGAACCACATGTTAGAGTGCATACGTAGACAGGTTCAGTTGCATTTTAACATACTCACTGGTGAGTACACATACAAGGTGAGCCTGAGCCATCCTAATGTGACATGCCTGACATAATCCCAAGGGGATTAGTTGTTAAAACATTTGAAAAACAAGGTGAGTTCTTGCTTCAGTGTTCTTCCTTAGTGACACATGTTCTAAATTAAAGATTTTGCAGCAAGTTCATTATAAACTTTCTTTGAGTCTAAGCAACTGAGAGATGTTCTTGGAGCTGTCAAGATATGTATAGCTCTAATTTTTAGCTAACTACTAAATCTATATTTGTCCATCTGGGATTTTCCTCACTATTGACCATCAGAAAAGTGTCGGGTGGTTTTTTTGGTTTGTTTTTTTTTTTTACTAGATACTGTTTCTCTTTCTGTTCCTTTTCTGTAATCTCTGGGCAATTATTTCTGCTGTCAGGAGTAAAATGCAGCTATATGAACTGTTTGCATCTGTGGAAAGCTGTGTGGGGACAGCATTTAGAGTGACTTATACTGAAAACTTTGGGGTGAAGGTGAGGAAGAAGGATAATTCTAAGTTCCCAATGCCTGAAGTTAATCAGTAGGGGTTTCTTCTTACTTTGTGCCCTCTTCCCACCTGTCATTTCTCACAGCTATTTTAGCTGTTCCAGATGGGCTCACTGCCTTCTTCTCTTGCAGAACTTTGTAGTATGTGCATTCTTTGGCATGTCAGTGTTGATGGCTGTGCAGTAGTTTTTTGAGCACTTCAGAGTTTCCCCAGTGTCTTAGCTAGGGCATTTATGCTGGTAAGCCATCTCTTCTCGTGCGTCACTGGTCAGTCTAATGCTTTCTCCTTGCTTTGTAGGACTGAATTGTGCCTCTCTTTTAACTTGGTGGTGGTTTTTTTATCACGTGCTTATTAGTCTCTTGTAACTTCTGCTTCTGAAAAGCTGGGAGGAAAGACCTTTTCACTGTGATGAGGATACAGGTTAACATTAACAAGATGCAGGTTCATGGCCCTGTTAGTATGATGTCAGCATTTTATCTGATAGCTCAGAATGTTTAATTTCAAACTGTGGGAACAAGCAAGTATTTAACTACTGTTGTTCAACCCCATTCTGTTCCCTCATTCATAAGCCTGGTCACACCCAAGAAAAGGGAAGGCTATTGGAAATAAATGAAGAATGGGACTTGAGTAGGTGTAACTCTAGTTTTGTTCTTTAAATGTTGCTGTTATGTTTTTCATGGTGTTCTTAATACGGTTGCTTTCTGCACATTTTTAGTGGATGTTTTGCTTCATGTAGTACCTAGTAGTTCTCTTTCAT